GCAGAAGGTCCCAGGTTCAATCCCCGGCATCTCCAGTTCAAAGTACCAGGCAGGAGGGGATGTGAAAGACCTCAGCCTGAGACCCTGGAGAACCATGGAGAGGGGCTGTGGCTCAGTGGCAGAGCCTCTGCTTGGCATGCAGAAGGTCCCAGGTTCAATCCCCGGCATATCCACACTTAAGAGGAGCAGGCAGGAGGTGATTGGAAAGACCTCTGCCTGAGACCCTGGAGAGCTGCTGCTAGTCAGAGTAGAGAAGACTGACCTTGGTGGACTAGCGGTCTGATTCAGTACAAGGAAGCTCCATGTGTTCACATGATTATAGTCTCTCCTGTGAGTGATCTCCCAAGGTAGTCTTAGGGCAAGCCACTGCTAACCCCTCCCGTCTGCAATTCAGGGTAAATGATATTGTCCCACCTTGCAGGGCTGTCGAAAGGGTTACGCTGTATCTCATCCACCATGAGTGCTCAGAAACAGCAAAACAGGACTACGCCATTAGTAAAGGTTTCCCTTGCTCAAAAGCCAGTCGAATCTGACTCCAGAGTTGCGGTGCTCATCTCTGTTTCAAAGCCGAAGAGCCAGCGCTGTCCGAAGACGTTTCCGTGGTCATATGGCCAGCATGACTAAACACCAAGGCGCACGGAACGCTGTTACCTTCCCACCAAAGCGGTACCTATTTATCTACCTTGAATTTCTTGCTTTCGAACGGTTAGGTTGGCAGGAGCTGGGGCCAGAGGCGGGAGCTCACTCCGTCACGCAGCACTCGGGTCTCGAACTGCTGAACTACCGACCTTCTGGTCTGCAGTTCGGTGCCTTAACCACTTGGGCCACCATTATCTTACCTCTAATGCACAGAACACCTGGATCAAACCAACAGCTGGATTCAGTAGGGGGCAGACCTCCTCTGGGGAAGTGTATGGTTCTTCCCAGGGACTGGACCAAGCCGGAGGATGTAACCAGCAAGTAGGTAGGGGATAAGTAGCTCCCTTTGCCATCTGTGTCCAGGATCACGTAATTGGCCAGCACCTTCCCCTCGCTGTCGACCTGGACCCTGCGGCCGAATCCCACAAAGTCGAGGTTCTTCACATGTTCTGCCAGCGTCATCCCCGAGAGCTCTGAAGCCCCGGGCCGATGTGCCTTGTCTAAAGCTTTTGCGACGAGGTAAATAGCATCATAGATAGTCCCAAAGAGAGGAGTCACCTGGAAAAACAAACGTAACCTTAAGAACATAAGAATGTACGAACATAAGAGAATCCATGTTGGATCAGGCCAGTGGCCCATCCAGTTCAACACTCTGTGTCACACAGTGGCCAAAACCCAGGGGCCATCAGGAGGTCCAGCAGTGGGGCCAGGACTCCAGAAGCCCTCCCACTGTGGCCCCCCAAGCACCGAATTACTGCCCCAGACATAAGAACATAAGAGAAGCCATGTTGGATCAGGCCAATGGCCCATCCAGTCCAACACTCTGTCACACAGTGGCCAAAACCCAGGTGCCATCAGGAGGCCCACCAGTGGGGTCAGAACTCCAGAAACTGTGCCCCCCCCAAGTACCGAGTATACAGAGCATCTCTGCCCCAGACATAAGAGAAGCCATGTTGGATGAGGCCAATGGCCCAACACTCTGTGTCACACAGTGGCCAAAACCCAGGTGCCACCAGGAGGCCCACCAGCGGGGCCAGAACTCCAGAAGCCCTCCCACTGTGGACCCCCCCAAGCACCAAGAATACAGATCATCACTTGCCCCAGACATAAGAACTTGCCCCAGACAAGAGAAGCCATGTGGGATCAGGCCAGTAACCCATCCAGTCCAACACTCTGTGTCACACAGTGGCCAAAACCCAGGTGCCACCAGGAGGCCCACCAGCGGGGCCAGAACTCCAGAAGCCCTCCCACTGTTGTACCCCCCAAGCACCCAGAATACAGGTAATTACTGCCCCAGACATAAGAACATAAGAGAAGCCATGTTGGATCAGGCCAATGGCCCATCCCATCCAACACTCTGGGTCACACAGTGGTCAAAACCCAAAGAGCCCTCATGAGGTTCACCAGCGGGGCCAGAGCTCCAGAAGCCCTCCCACTGTGGCCCCCCAAGCACCAATAAGACAGAGCATCACTGCCCCAGACATAAAAACATAAGAGACGCCAATGTTGGATCAGGCCAATGGCCCATCCAGTCCAACAATCTGTGTCACACAGTGGCCAAAACCCAGGTGCCATCAGGTGCTCAGGTGCCCAAATCTCCAAGCAACCTTGTGTGGCCCACACTGACCTGCTGCGGTTCCAGATCTGTTGCTATTTCGCCTCTTTTCTTTGCTGCCCCGAATGCTTCATAAAACGTCTGCTCTCCAGACTCCAAGGTGATGGTCAGGACGGCATCGTAAGCCTCCCGGAACACGCGGTCCTTGTCGAGGAGGAAGTAGGAGTGGTTCCGATAAGGAAGGCTGTAGAGCAGGGTGTCGTACGGCACAAAAGTGTACCTCCCATCGGCCAGACCCATCTCCTGGGCCTGGGTTAGCAGGGCGGCCTGATCTTCTCCTCCGACCAGGGCCGAAGGCATGCACAGAATGAGAACTGCAAGGGAGGAACCAAGCGGGTGGAGAAAAGGGGGGTGGTATTATACGAACACTAAATTACAAACTATTTCATTATGTCAGAGATGCCTGTCATCGGAAACTTAGGGGGAGAAGGGTTGGAGGTGGGGTGGCTCTGTATGTCAGAGAGGGTATAAAGTCCAGAAAGATTGAGAGGCTAAGAGAATTGGATTCGCTTCTGGACATTCTATGGGTTGAAATAGGGGGGCCAAAAGGAAACTTAACACTGGGAGTTTGTTATCGCCCACCAGATCAAAAGATAGAGGAGGATTATAAAATGGTGAATGAATTCAAGATAGCAGCTGGACAAAAACACTGTGTCGTAATAGGTGATTTTAACTACCCACACATTGATTGGGTCAATATGTGTTCTAGTCGAGAGAAAGAGATTGAGTTTCTAGACACCCTAAATGACTGTGCTATGGAGCAGATGGTCATGGAACCTACCAGGGGAGAGGCGATCCTTGATTTGGTCCTAAGTAACACTCAAGACCTGGTGAGAGATGTAAAAGTGATTGCACCGCTTGGGAACAGTGATCATAATGTTGTTGAGTTCAACATTTGTATAAATAGGGAATTGACCAAAAAGACTCACACAACCACTTTTAACTTTAAAAGGGGTAACTTCTCTGATATGAGGGGACATGTGGGGAGGAAACTGAAGGGAAAAGTAGAAAGGGTCAAAACCATTGGGGAAGCTTGGAAACTGTTTAAAACTACAATTCTAGAAGCTCAAATAAAATATATTCCGCAGGTTAGGAAAGGCACAAACAGGTATAAGAAAAAGCCTACATGGTTAACAAACAAAGTAATGGAAGCTGTAAAAGGTAAAAAGGATTCCTTTAAGCGGTGGAAAGCTAGTCACAGTGAGGCTGATAAAACGGAACACAGGCTATGGCAAATAAAATGCAAGTCTGTGGTCAGGCAGGCAAAAAGGGAATATGAGGAGCATATAGCAAAAAATGTAAAGACCAACAATAAAACTTTCTTCAAATACATTAGAAACAGGAAACCAGCCAGGGAGGCAGTGGGGCCCTTGGATGACCAAGGGGTAAAAGGAGTACTGAAGGATGATAGGGAAATGGCTGAGAAGCTAAATGCATTTTTTGCCTCCGTCTTCACTGTGGAAGATGAGAGGTGCTTGCCCACTCCAGAGCCGCTGAGTTCGGGAGGGGTGTTGAAAGACCTGAGTCAGATTGAGGTGACGAGAGAGGAGGTCCTAAAACTGATAAACAACTTAAAAACTGATAAATCACCAGGCCCAGATGGCATACATCCAAGAGTTCTGAAAGAACTCAATTGTGAACTTGTGGATCTCCTGACAAAAATATGTAATCTCTCCTTAAAATCAGCCTCCATTCCTGAGGACTGGAAGGTAGCTAATGTCACTCCCATCTTTAAAAAGGGTTCCAGAGGAGATCCGGGAAATTACAGGCCTGTCAGTCTGACGTCGATACCGGGTAAATTGGTGGAAACCATTATTAAGGAAAGAATTAGTAGGCACATAGATGAACAAAACCTATTGAGGCAGACTCAACATGGGTTCTGTAAGGGAAGATCTTGTCTCACTAACCTGTTAATGTTCTTTGAGGGGGTGAACAAACATGTGGACAAGGGGGATCCAATAGATATTGTTTACCTTGACTTCCAGAAAGCTTTTGATAAAGTTCCTCATCAAAGGCTCCTAAGCAAGCTCAAAAATCATGGGATAAAAGGACAAGTCCTTTTATGGATCAAAAACTGGCTAATTAATAGAAAACAGAGAGTGAGTATAAATGGGCAGTTCTCCCAGTGGAGGGGTGTAAGCAGTGGGGTACCACAGGGATCAGTACTTGGTCCACTGCTTTTTAACTTGTTCATTAATGATTTGGAGTTGGGAGTAAGCAGTGAAGTGGCTAAATTTGCGGATGATACGAAGTTGTTCAGGGTGGTGAAAACCAGTGAGGATTGTGAGGCACTCCAAAGGGATCTGTCAAAGTTGGGCGAGTGGGCGTCAACATGGCAAATGGGGTTCAATGTGGCCAAGTGCAAGGTGATGCACATTGGAGCCAAAAATCCTAACTATAAATACACGTTGATGGGGTCTGAACTGGCAGAGACAGATCAAGAGAGAGATCTTGGAGTTGTAGTAGATAACTCACTGAAAATGTCGAGACAGTGTGTGACTGCAATAAAGAAGGCCAATGCTATGCTGGGGATTATTAGGAAGGGTATTGTAAACAGATCAGCCAATATCATAATGCCGCTATATAAATCAATGGTGCGACCTCATCTGGAATACTGTGTGCAATTCTGGTCACCACACCTTAAAAAGGATATTATAGCTTTGGAAAAAGTGCAGAAAAGAGCAACTCGAATGATAAAAGGGTTGGAACACTTTCCCTATGAGGAACGGTTAAGGCGCTTAGGGCTCTTTAGCTTGGAGAAACGACGACTGAGGGGTGACATGATTGAGGTTTATAAGATTATGCATGGGAAAGAGCAGGTAGAGAAAGAGGTACTTTTCTCCCTTTCTCACAATACAAGAACCCGTGGGCACTCCATGAAATTGCTGAGCGGTCGGGTTAGAACGGATAAAAGGAAGTACTTCTTCACCCAAAGAGTGATTAACACTTGGAATTCACTGCCACAGGAAGTGGTGGCAGCTACAAGCATGGACGGCTTCAAAAGGGAATTAGATAAGCATATGGAGCAGAGGTCCATCAGTGGCTATTAGCCACAAGGTATAGATAGGGACTCTGGGGCAAGTGATGCTCTGTCATCTTGGTGCTTGGGGGGGGGTCAACAGTGGGAGGGCTTCTAATGTCCTGGCCCCACTGGTGGACCTCCTGATGGCACTGGTATTTCTGGCCACTGTGGGATACAGAGTGTTGGACTGGATGGGCCTTTGGCCTGATCCAACATTGTTCTTGGTGCTGGGGGGGGGTCAACAGTGGGAGGGCTTCTAATGTCCTGGCCCCACTGATGAACCTCCTGATGGCACTGGTATTTCTGGCCACTGTGTGATACAGAGTGTTGAACTGGATGGGCCTTTGGCCTGATCCAACATTGGCATCTCTTATGTTCTTATGTTCTTATGTTCTCATCCAACGCAGCCTTGGTCTAAGTTGGGATCTAAAGAGGGACACCTTCACCTTTCAAGTGCCAGCTTCTGAAAAACAGTTTACCAGACGAGGTGTTCTGTCAATGGTGAACAGAATGTCTTCCCTCCCCCTTTCCACTATATTGGTAAACCTGGCCTCTGGAGAAGAGATCTTTGCGCCCCAGTCCACTATATTGGTCTATCTAGCCTCTGGACAACAGGTCTACCCATCCCTTTCCACCATATTGGTAGACCTGGCCTCTGGAGAACAAGTCTACCCACCCCAATCAACCATATTGGTAGACCTGGCCTCTGCACAACAGGTCTACCCATCCCTTTCCACCATATTGGTAGACCTGGCCTCTGGACAACAGGTCTACCCATCCCTTTCCACCATATTGGTAGACCTGGCCTCTGGAGAACAGTCCAGTATATTGGTAGACCTGGCCTTGGAACTGGTAGACCTGGCCTTGTGCTGAGCCTTAGAAAACATACCAGCACTTAGAGAGGGGGGAAACTCTTGCAGTCTGTTGTTGTTTTTTTAAATGAAATATAACAACCAGCATTACCGGTCAAGGAGAACTGTCAGAACCCTGTCTAACCTAACAAACAGGAGAACAGGTATTCCCATCTCAGTTCACTATATTGGTAGACCTGTCCTCCAAAAACAGGTCTATCTGCCCCTTTCCAATATATTGGTAGGCATGGCCTCCAGATAACAGATCTACCCACCCCTTTCCAATATATTGGTAGACCTGGCCTTGGACCATCACCCTGCATTGACCCTTAGAAAACATACCAGCACTTGGAGGGAGGGACTCTTGCATTACAGGTCTGGTATAACAGAGGTGGAACAGTCCCTGTCAGAATGCTGCCTAACCTAACAAAAAGGACGTTCTTAAATGTTATCAACCTGCCCAAATTACTTATTTAGTCAGATATTTATATCCCACTTTTCCCTGTGACTCAAGGGAGCTTACAAATCATACTGAAAATCATAATAGGGGTGTGCAAAAAAATTGGTTTTCTTTTTCCTGACTCCATTATAGCCTATGGGGACCATTATAGTCAATGGGCCCCATAGGCTATAATGGAGAATCGATCCAGGGGTATCTTGTCTAAAGCTTTTGCGACGAGGTAAATAGCATCATAGATAGTCCCAAAGAGAGGAGTACCTGTTTTTTGAGGTAAAGGCATCAAATTTGTAGCATAGCTGCTTGTGCCTCTCCTGAAGAAACCCCCCAAGTTTCAAAAAGATTGGACCAGGACTCACCTTTAATGTCCCCAGCAGCCTGTATCCTTGCCCAAGTCCCTTCGGCTCTTGAATCTCCATCGTCAATCGCCGTAACAAGTTGTACGAGCAGTCCCTGGTTCCTCAAGGTGACGGCCAGTTGATTGGCCGTGTCCAGCCAGAAGTCCCCTTGGGATGAGATGATGCCAACGTGAGCCCAGTTAAAATATTTCAGCACGGCCACAAGGACGTCGGCGGGCGAGGGCAGCGTCCCGACGAGCGAGGGGGGGCAGTTTGGACGGTCCCGTTTGTAGTTAAAACACGTCCACGAGAAGATGGCTTTCTTCCAGGTCTTACCGAGCAAGGAGGCCGTGCCGCAGTAGCCGGGGTTCAGCGGCCCCACGAAAGCCGAGGAAAGTCTTTCATAGCCCGCGAATCCGGCTAGACCCCTGCAGGTCTGACAGTCCTGTTCTATCAATGTCCAGTCCAAGTCACGGGCAACGTTAAACGAGGGATCCTTCTTTATTCGTTGCACAGCTAACTTAGCGGCCGCTTGGGGAAAGGCCTTGGAGAAAAACGGATCGCAGTTCCACGGCCCGACCAGGCCGATTTTAAAGACCGTGCCGCCTATCAGAAGAGGCGGCGTTACCATCCCTAGAGCAACACACCATAATCCCACAACTGCCCTATACGGCTTCCAAACGGTACAAAATCGGGTCTTCTGAGCAATCTCCAGAGGAATGCAGCTGCAACACAACGGGATTACAGCCATCGTTCCGTAGCAGATGAGGAACAAGGTGAAGGTTTTAAGGGGATGTGGGCTTCCAAGAGGAATGGTACGTGATCCAAAGCACAAATGTAAGTCCTTCGGGGTGCATGAAGACAAGCAGATTACAGGCCGCTGGGTTAGGTTCGTGTTGGGTGGAAGTCTCTAAGAGTGCCTGACCTGGACAAATAGATGATAGAGGGGATGACTAAAAGTGAAATCTTAGATACAGGCAACAACAAAAAGCAAATGATGTACAGATTCTGTCGTAGAGATACTAATGAATTTCTCATTGCTTCTGGTTCAACTTGAAAAGCATTGCTTTGTGTCAGTTTAAGACTATAGGAACGTAAGAGAAGCCATGTTGGATCAGGCCAATGGCCCATCCAGTCCAACACTCTGTGTCACACAGGGGCCAAAACCCAGGGGCCACCAGGAGGTCCACCAGTGGGGCCAGAACTCCAGAAGCCCTCCCAGTCTTGCCCCCCCAAGCATCAAGAATACAGAGCATCACTGCCCCAGACATAAGAACAGAAGAGAAGCCCTATTGGATCAGGCCAATGAACCATCACTGCCCCAGACAGAGTGTTCCACAGATACCTTGTGGCTAAGAGCCACTGATGGGCCTCTGCTCCATATGTTGATCCAACCCCCTCTTGAAGCTGTCTATGCTGGTAGCCGCCGCCACTTCCTGTGGCAGTGAATTCTCCCTCCAACCACTACGCAACTTGAACCCTCGAACCACTACACAACTTGAACCCAGAAGTTTTTATGCCATTGTCTGTTTCCTGTTACCAAATTCTCTCCTTCAGTCTTGACCTGGATGGCCCAGGCTAGCCAGTCTCTTCGGAACCCGGAAGGTAAGCAAAGGTGGCCCTGGTTAGCCCTTGGATGAGGTTGTCACGAGGCCAGGATTGCTATGCAGAGGCAGACAACAGCAAACCACTTTTGTATGTCTTTTGCCCAGACCTGGATGGCCCAGTCTAGAGATGTAAAACTTCCGGAAATTTTGAAGCTCGGAAAAAAACCCGTTAAAAAAAAAACAAAACGGAAATTTTCGGGAAAATTGAAAAAAATGCTACATTAGCATTCCTTTTGTCTTTTCTAGATTGAAAGTCATTCTGTTACTTTAGGAACATAAAATATGACTATGGACATTTTTACTTGGCATGAAATTATCACAACTAGCATATTAAAAATAGAGTGTATCCAAACAATTATTACCAACAGAATACCCTCCCACATGCAAAAACAAAACTGACCCGAGTTCTCTTCAGCAAGATTTCCACAGCAGCGAAACTCTCCACCATAATGCAGAAACCTCAACGACTGGAGAAAACAGTAGATTAGATTCTAGGAAGTGCCTTCACTGATTTTTACAGGTTGATGGGGAGGGGAGTGATTTTTGAAGTAAGTAAATAATATTGAATCGGCAGGTGGAGCATCTGGTTAGCTGTCGCTTGTAATCTGGGGCGCAACAAGGTATGTGTCTTCAGCACCAGGGACAGCTCCCCCGTGGGGATCCTAATTAGCGCTACTTTAACAAGAGCCCTGTATGGGCTGCGCGTTATTGAATTGAGGCAACTGCACTGGCTTTCTTGTTTCCACTCCGTCTTCATTCAGAGTTGTTCTCTGCTGGAATATTCTCCCTAACCTGTATGTTCCAGCACATCTCCTAAAATACCCCCATTTTAAATCTCTGCTCCATTCTCATCTCTGCACCGTGTTAAAACAGCAAGCCAGTTTGGTGCATTGGTTGAGAGCAGCGGACTCTAATCTGGC